CGCTTAAGCTGACTCCGCTCTTCATTATGTTCAGAGCCAGGTGGAATGAGTTTCCGAGCATCTATCAGTGAGATAGATGCTGCTGAGATCCAGTGTTGCTCCCTAACCTTCTGGTTTACCTTACTAGCAGACATCACTGCCGTTTCCACAGCTTTTCGGATATCATTCCATGCTGCCTCGGGGTGGGCATCACATACACATGGCTGCCTAACTGTTTTCCTAGTTGTTCCTGAAATATACCCTTAGCTTGACTATCATTAAGTAGGCCCCTAAGAGGTTTACTTGCAGCGGCTTTCCTACGTCCAGTAAGATGCAGACAGATACGCGCTCGTACTAGAGCATGATCTGAATCTAAGCATGTGCTCCAGAATGAGCGACAGTCTTCTATCGAGCCCCTCCATCGGTGGCTGATAGCGATGTGATCTATTTGGGTCCAACGTTGGGACGAATTAGGGGGTCGCCATGTTAAAAGATGTTTTTCCTTATGCTTAAAGTTAGTATTTGCAAGGAACAGTCGGTTATCTGAGCATAGCTGCAACAGACGGTCGCCATTATCTGTTCTTTAAGCCACGACACCACAAGATCCACCCAGGTGTCTTTCCCTATCGCTTAGTTTACCTACTTGAGCATTTAAGTCACCGGCCATTATTACTACATCCGAGCGCCTAGCTTTTCGGAGAAGGTCGGAGAGCTTTCTGTAAAACTCATCTTTTACATCATCTGAGCTGCAGTCAGTGGGAGAATAGGCAGAGACGACGAAGAGTGTCCCTATCTTTCTGGATCCTTACTGTTCCGTTTAGTCGGACAGCGCACAAACGACTGTCTACTGGGATCCACTCCAAGAGAGATTTTATTCGGATGAACTGGTGCAAAGAATTGTATCAATAAGTGTGTGCTTAGCTATAGAGAGGTTTCTTATTCCATGACATATTCAGATAATCACCTAAAATGCACATACGGCTACTAGTTCCAACTATATATATATATATATATATATATATATATATATATATATATATATATCACTAAATTCTATAATTTAATACTTAATGACTGATCTATATCGACCGTTTTTAGAAGTTCCTCATCTGTAAGATCCTTTCTATAGGTTCTACAAGCAACCAACATAGATTATTAGTGGTGTGGATCACTGTAAATCCCTTGGTAAAATACTAAGTGCAAAGGTAACCAATTAACATGACAAAATAAACTGTTACACAACCATAGGTCCACAATACACCAATAAAATTAAGACGTCACCATGAACGGTCGATTTTACAGAAGAGTTCCAGACGTTTACTGTACATTTTATTTATTTGAACACAAATATTAGTACAAAGGGGTACCAAATACATATATGCCACACAATAACAATCAGAATGTAAAGTGCGCATTCGCATATATATATATTAAGCATCTTCTAGGAAAAAGTTGTGCTGAAAAAAGGATCTTTTAGCAGAAATTTTTGAAAAAGAATATGCCTAGGGAAGACTCCACAAGTCTTGAGAGGACCCTGTGTAGATGCCCATCGTCTGAATCCCTCCGAAATCCCACTATAGGTCGCCTCCGAATGTATTGCTTAGGTTGAATCATCGTTTCTGGAACCTACCTCTGTTGGTCTCATTATTGTCTGGAAGATCAAATAAGCAAATATTTAAAATCACTTCTCGTTTTTCAATGAGAACCTAGTTGTTTTTAGGTTACTTCATGCAAAAGATGAGTCCTGTCACCAAAATATGTATTTATATGTTCACAGTTCTTGTTCTTTTAAAATTTGATAAGAACTATGCGTTATATGTCATCTTTATTCGCTAGTTACAATTTAAAGAAAACATTCACAAAATGTTTCATCAGCTATCAATCTTTTTGAACCTTGCAGGTATATTCCAAACCACTATACTGTGAATCATTGACTGATTTCTGCTGTACTCGAATTGCTGCCAGTGCTCAATGGACTTAACTTGTTCAATCTGCCTTAATGTCTTGTTCAAACCAGTTCATCTCCCTTGCAACCACCAATTCTGCAAGGACTGCATAGTTCAGGCTTTAAACTTCACTGCATATCAATGTCCTATTTGCAGATACAGACTTTCAAACTGGCTACGGAGAGTAAAAGATATAGATTCAGTGATTTCCGAAAGTAAAGAAAATGAAATTCGAAGCCTTTTTCCAAATTATTATGATGCCAAGGAATCGGGAATGTCTCCTTCCTTGTCTGAATTTGAAATCAAAACCCTTGCAGCGAAAAATACAGGTGTGGTTGGTTTTTTGTTCAAAAACTCAACATTAATGTTTGTTAACATTTGTGTGAGACGATTTATATGTTGCTTTCTTGAGGAAGTGAAGGTAACATCTTTGTAGTTATATTACATTAATTTTTGAAAAATCTTAATTATTTGTATTAATTGCCATTTCAGATCCTATTCCAAACTGTTTCGCCGAGCCAGGAGATGTGCATGATTATTATATGAAAGAGATCGAGAAGTATTCACATTTACGTTCTTTAGAAGATAAAGAAAATGAAGAAGCTTCCTTAGCACTAGCTGCTCAGCTCCTATTTGAAGATGGTCTTAACTCGCCAGCAGATGACATTTTACCCTTTGGTAAGTCGCCAGTTGGTATTGATGCATACATAAAAATCAGAGTGCCAGGATAATAACCATCACATTGAAAATAACCTTACACCCATTGCTTCCTCCTCATCCAGAAGTAAAGGAATAAAGAAAAAGTGCGGAAGAAAGCAAAATAAGAAAGCGACAAAAACAAGCAAAACATTGTTGGATTACGCTATCAATACAGCTAACGTCGGACTCAAACCAGAAGTTGCGAATGAACAGGTACACTTGGATTTTGTTTCCTTAGAATTTTAATTGACCAGCGTTAGCCTCTAAAAATCTAGACATCAATTTCATAATTTAAATGACGATTTAGGAAATTTGGCCAGAAAGTTAAACATTGCTCATCAGGAAAACGGTCTAAACAGTAATTATCACTATATAAAAAACTAATTCTGCTAACAGCTAACTCAAATATCAGTTTGAGCTATGCGATTAGTTGCTCGAGCGATTTCAGTTAACCCCCTCTACCCAGTACCTAGCTGTAGACTAGGGTTTTGATATTAGCCTATTTATTTTAAGCCAGATTCGGATTGCTGTTTCAGTTAAGTATTCTTGAGTAGCTTAAGCTCTGATTTGAAAGATGTCTTCAACTAGTCCCGATCAAAGCACCCGTAGTGTGGTTCAAAACCACAATTCAATTTAAGTGTTCTGACAATTGCACTCAGATTATAGCTGCATCCGTAATGTGATAGTTAGACTCGTCAATGGTGATCACCCAGCCAAACTTTATTCGACGGAACATTCGTTCTTTGAAACTCTGCCATACCAAACAGGTTGGTTTGATATCAGGAAATTTAAGGTCCTAGCTTTTGTTTGAGTCATTCTCTCTATGCACATATGTGACTTGTGGTAGTGTCACTGAACCACAAAAGCAGACAGTTTGTAGGGATCTCACTCACGATGAGTCCGGGAAGGATGCCTAGTATTCCTAATTCCTCATCGGTTCCTTAGCAGACAGCTAATTAAAACAATGTTCGCAAACCCAATAGTCAGGTTTTAATTTTTGTAGATTGAAGATCTTTCTTACTATCTTTAATCATCAAATCTAGTCGTTTGTTTGTGCTTAAATTATTGTGGGACTGAATTAGATGGATCACTAATTCATTCATTATTTCCTACTTGCAACTAGCATAATAGCAGGCAAATCGAAAAAAGTATGAGACGTAACTGAAGAATTAGTTTGCCTACGTGTAATAGGACTTCCGGCTGATACTTTTTTTTCCACTTTATATAGATTTTGTGTGATGAGACATTTGCTCGGAGGTTGCAGATTAAATATTCAAAACTGTTGGGTAACATGGAAGAGCATAAACGTCTGAAAGGTAGAAAATAATATTCTTGATGATTTTGTGATTATCTGTGTAACCATTAAAACAATATTTAACGCTACTTTATTTTGTCATGCAAGATAAATATAGTGTTCATATTGTATAGAATTAGACCAAATGAACACAATTATCTATAAAAGTTAATTTCCCGAAGAACAATCCGCAACTTACGACTTCTCAACTAACTATGTACTTGTCGAGATGGTCAACACTCATTTAGACCCATGCTATCTAATTAACATTCGAAAAGCATCAACTTTGTGAGCGTATTGTATTGAAGGTTGATAATCGGAAGTATATTTAGAGAGCTTTTATGCGTATACTTGCGTACCATTTACAATGAACATAGAAATAATCTTTGTCATATCATAGGTCTTTAACAACTTGCTTTTAACTGGGTGTTACTTGGCTCCCAGAACTATCATGATGACTTACTGTAAACATGAACTTTTTATATTATAAAGCTCTGGGGACTATTCGATCGCAAGTGAAGTTGTGATATTCTTAGGTCTGAAAACCGTAAGGGACAAAAATACTGAGCGTATAAAAAAATCAGCTGCAGATGAATTAAGTGAATGTTACAAAGTTCTTCAGGAATAGCGTTCATATCGTACGATGCAGTTTTTGTACATATAGACAGAAAAGTACATGTATAACCATCTGAACCAAACTAGCTGTGATTTATGACTTATCATACTGAAATAAGGGACGTACAGTAATCGGAAAGGTGAACAAATGAAGTTCTCTTTAAGTAAAATAGAAAAGAATAGATCAATTAAGAAACAATATTTACGTAAAATGGAAACACTTTGTAGGACAAATAGTTGGGGAATAAGTTGGTCTCTACACGCTTTTTTTAAGACTTTTGCAAGTACACAGTGGTTTCTGTGTCCACTCACACCAAATTCGTCGAAAGTCACCACAGAACGAGAACGGAACTTATGACATGTTTGACAGACGATATCAATCAATTCCTCTGTTGGCCAAAATGAACTAGGACCATCCTCAAATGTATCTGAGTCAATAATGGTTGAACGTCGGATTCCCAATTTCTTCATTGCAACGTCCAGTTCACGCTTCCTTTCATGACCAACTCCACCATAATTCCCAGTGGTAAAGCAAAGCAGGTCGACGTCGTATCCGCTATTTACTAATTTGAGTATAGTCGGAGCAAAGAACATACATTCATCATCTGGATGCGCAGTGATGATGAGGACTGGCTGTTCTATATTTGTTTGTTTAATTTGAACAAGAAGTAAAAGGCACAGCCATAAAATGAATGTGAAGATGTTCACCCCAATAACTGTAAGAGAAATGTTTTATCATAAACCAACGAGATAGTAGGCATGGAAAACAAAGTTATGTGATTCACATTACCTAGCTATAAAATATAAAGAATTTGTGTTCATCCATACTTCTGTCCTCGAGAAGTACATTCTGTATCTTTGAGTAACTAGTTTCATATTTTCTGTGTTCAAGAGCCAAAATTCATTTTTTACCAGTGAAAGATAAAAAGTGTCTTTGGCTCGAAGGGATCACATGACACCTAATTAAACTGGCGTTAATCAGTAAGTATGAAATTACTTCCACTAAAAGCATTTTGGTTCCGTTTCATAAGTGTTAATTGATCGTGGAAACAAAAGTTACTCGATAAGTTATTGACCAAACATTTTTACAATGTACGGAAGAAATATATTACGATTAGAGTACATAACCAACCACATTTTGTCAGCCTAACAAAATTCATTCTTGTTATCTCCAAGTGGTAATGAGTTAAGATAGCGTTTAGTATACTTTATTGTGTTCAGTTACTTGGGTCAGTTGTGAGATAGTAACTCACTGATGACAATGGTGGATGTGTCGCTCGATTTCGTGGATTAGTTGAAGTTAGACATTAACACCGTTGAATGCCGGCTCAGTGGTCTAGTGGTTAAGTGCTCGCGCGCGAGACCAGTAGATCCTGGGTTCAAATCCCGGGAGGCGGGATCGTGGATGCGCACTGCCGAGGAGTCCCACAATAGGACGGAACGGCCGTCCAGTGCTTCCAGGCTTTCCATGGTGGTCTAGCATCAATTGACTCATGATCTCAACAATTGAAATTATTTAGAAGTTATTAGTTGTAAGTGTAAGGACATGTAATTCGATCTTTAGGTTTAAACGATAATGCAGAACTCGGTACTTAGGCACAAACTGATTTCATATCAAATTATGCCCTGAAAATAATTAGTAAATAGAAGTATTTGGAAGACTAAGTTGCGGTAGGCTGTTTTTCCTTAATACGGGCATTTAGTTATTAAGCAACTCATAGAAAACTTGTTAAACTGAAGAAGTACAGTTTATAGTATCTACACTTCAAGTATATGTACTGTCGACCGTACGTCTACTTGAGATCGACCTTTAACTCCAGTGCCCCTAAATGATCTGGTACGGCCGGAAGTGGGGAGAGTCAGCTCTCCCTCGAAATACTCTCACACGGACACGCGTATACAACCATTGCCAGGGAAGTCCTACTCACTGCCTTATCGTAGCGGGGGTGTTGTTTACGAAATTGAGAAGACAAAAAGCGAATTTCCGGCTTTTTAACCGGGTTAGTGGATACGGAGAGTCCACCAAGAGGAGTTGGAAAACCCTGATTCCAAAACAGTGGTGTACATTAGCTCCAGGATCCTAAGGAAACAAATGGCGTATGAATCTATTATTGGTCACCAGGTACCATGGGAGAGCATCTACTTACGTCGCTCCACTGCCTTGTGGATTAAACTTTAGGTCAAAGGCTCGGGGTGGGCACCCGGGCAGCATTCCAGCTCTAAGATGATTTATGTGGCGCATATCTGTTCGGTGCCTCGTTGTACCATTGTTTATGTGTTTAAACAAATAAATGAAACATTTAAATCCAGTATTGCAGACTAAACATCACAGGCTTTTAGAGACAATCATATGAATAGTTAAAGTTAATTTTGAAATCATTTAGGCAATTGACTGTTGGAATTATCAGTACACGAATAAAATTAATTACAATTGAGAAAATTAGTATAGAGAAACTTCAAAGTGCGATGCTAATTTAAACACTAGGTTGAATAAAAGATAGGAAATTGAAGGGGTGTTTGACAGTCTGATTATATTATGCTATGTTGCTATTGAAGTGCTTAAAAACTAGGCTAGCGAGGATCTACAGAAGGACGTGTCGATGCATGTCTTCTGTAGACAATACTAATTTTATTAGTTTGGGGGACGAAATCTTGTAGTTTGCCTGAGACGGACCACATATTCAGCGAGAATAGAAATGATACATTTCCTTTTCATGTGATAATTTTTCTACTCACTGGGATATTACAAATATGTTATTTTCTTTTCATTTATTATTGTTCTAAAATTTTCTAATTCAATAAATGTTATTTTAAGAAACTTACATAAAATTATCCACAGCATCATTTGGTTAACTTGCATCAAAACAGTGGTGGTCGTTGTCATTAACTCTTACTGAACCATCTGAACTTTTGAGTCCTTAACGATAGCAATCTAGAGTGATGAAAAGACAAGAAGCTAGTTGATTTGTGAAGTGATCATTTTTAAGCTGTCGAGTCAACAAAGGCTACCTGGGAAACGAAAGTGAATTCCACTATGGGGAATGGAATTATTTAAGAAGGAAATAACACTGTCTACTTTCTATTTACACTAATCTGACATAACTGAAGGTACGACAATTAAGCTTACCGGAAAACCAAGAATCTTACTACCTGAAATATATGATCTTTATTCACATTGAGGATTACATAGTGGATGTAAATAAAATTTCGGATAATAGTTTTTGGTGTGACAGTCACTCTGAAAGAAAGACAGGACTTGCAATTTAACGTAGCTAGACTGGAAAAGGTGTTAATTGAGACAAATACGTATTGTCTGAAGACCATATATTTTGGATGATACTCTCCGTCTTCCTAAATTAAAATAGATGTGACAGTATGCAGCTCAATGGATAAAAGATGAGTGCTCTAATCAGCAGGCCACCGCCCTACCGATTGAGGTTTTAGGATATTTTACAGATGTATTTTACGTCATGCAGGACTTTTTTGTTCTTAACACTATCTTCCCACTATATCTATTGTACTGAAACATTCAGTTCGACCGTTCGCCACATAAACTACATTTTTATGTTAGCGGGACATAGACTGGATTAAAGCATGCTCAATGCACGATTGCTTTGGTGCACGCTGATTGGCTAATTCTTATCCAATCAGCACCAGTCGATAATTGGAGAATACTATAGAATCTCCTCATGTAAAAACCATAAATATACTGACGTTTTTCCCTGTTGTGCTTCTTACTTCCATCTAACCTTGTTATTTGGAATATAATCTCTTTCCTGTTCAACCGTGTTCTGATTTGGGGTCTTGTCGAGTGACTTGGTGTCCAAGAATACTAAGCAATAGGAATAGCTAAGTTATCACCGTAAGCGAGATTATAACATTAAGAGACTCTAAGGAAAGCGAAGTCATGAGCGGTCCCCATCGAAATAAGAGAATATCATGGCGTCAGCTTTACCTGAATGGCATAAACCACATTAGCACAGAGATGCAGTTGTCGATTCAAATCCCGTAGTGGTAGAGGTAATAAGAGTATAAGCAGTAATCGGGAAGATTAGGGTTTGGAGATGTTATTTAAAGAGTATAATACAGTGAAACAAATCTGGGAGGAGAAAAAAAGAGACAAGGAGGATTCAGGAGATTAAAATTTGGGAGAACACAAAGAGTGTATGCACCTGCGCCATTGCAAACGATTCTGAGCCATGTCATTCAGGGTCTCTAACCATCGGTTGCTATCATCTTGCGGTCCCCAACCAGGTAGTCTACACCTACCAACATGACTCAGTCCACTTGTCAGTGACTTCATGCACTTGTGCCATGTTTTGGTTTGGCCGCCTCTAGCTTTCTTCCAACCTACTCCTATACCACTGAACATAGCACGTCGAGGTAGTCGGTCGTTGGGCATACGTAACACGTGTCCCAGCCATCTCAACTGATGAAGTTTCACTACTTCATCAATTGATTTGCCATCCTTACCTAGTACCCGTTTCCTAACAACTGTGTTACTTACTCGATGGTCCCATGATATACGAGCAATGTTTCGAAGACACCTATGATCGAATACTAGTAACCTATGGATATCCTCTACTCTTACCGGCCATGTTTCACTGCCATAAAGTAGGCCGGGACGAACTGCTGCGCAGTAAACGCGTCCTTTGGTTGATAGACGGATATCTCGCCTACGCCATAAATGACGCAAGTTGGCAAAAGCTAGTCGAGCCTTCTGTATCCATGCTGAGATTTCGTCACACACCAGACCACAAGGGCTGATGAGACTTCCAAGATAAGTGAAGCGGTCGACACACTCAACTACTTCACTCCCTATCACTAGTTCGGGTGTCGATGTAACCCAATCCTGAAGCAACATTTTGCACTTCGAGGGAGAGAATCGCATCCCGAACATGCTTGCATTGTTGCTTAGAGTGGTCAGAAGACTCTGCATTTTGTCAGCGTCTTCGCCAAATAAAACTATGTCATCTGCATATTCTAAGTCAACAAGTGAACCTCCCGGTAGAAGTTCAACCCCTGGAAATTTAGATGAGGAGAGTGTTATCTCTAAAAGTACGTCAATGACAAAGTTGAACAAGAATGGGGAGAGTGGACAGCCCTGACGAACACCACTTGAGGTAATCAATTCTGATGACAGTTCGCCATAAGCTCTCACTCTACCAGTTGTGTTCGAGTAGAGAGCCTTTATAAGGTTAATGTACTTCTTTGGTACTCCTTTCAGTGACAAACACTGCCATAGATCTTCGTTGTGGCAGACACGCATGCTTTTTCTCGGTGAAGGATGGAATGAAATATGACAACTGCAACAAGCGGTATCACAACGTGTGCACAGGACTCACGCCGATTGCATGTAAAAGGTGCCGCAAGCCACTACACGTTGGTTGCGCAAAGCATGCTGTTCATGATTCTTGAGCTAGTGAACATAGCTAAAAGGATGCTCTAAGATAAACATCCAGCAACAGATGAGTAGTTTTCAGTTTTCGAGGAAGCAGCAAGCGTTATCATGAGTCTAGTTTCAGAGTTGAATTAAACGACCATGGTGGACCCCAATAGCGTAGCTGATAACGAACTCACAGATGTAGGTTTGGCTACCACACGAAAAATTGTGTTGAGAAGAAACAAATTATAGGGAGCTCTAAGATATGTGAGTCGACAGTTTTAGCTCCAGACCCACATATCAATGCAAAACAGATTATTGAGGAACAAAGCCTGAGCGGTGTAGACGATGTGATTAAGAGACATATTGAAGTCAATGAATGGCTTACAGTTACACCCAGAAAAAGAAAAGTAAGGAAAGGAGTGAGACCTTTGCGTCTGACGCCAAATTGAACTGCAGGGATGGGAATTTAGGAAACAAAGCTTCACAGCTTGTTAAGATGGATCTCGTTGATAGGTCAGTAATTCTTCATAAGTAAAAAGAATCTTCCGAAAAGGAACGCAAGTCTGGGTTTGAACACGAACTAAGCCACATGCAATTCTTAATAAGTAAGCTACTTCCCGTAACAGTAGTAGGAGTTAGCATCTATAAGCTTTGTAGAATGGGAGAAAAAGTGAGTTCTGGAAGTACACAGAAAAACTGCCTCTTGAAAGTTACCCTTGTTTCTGCTGAAGAAAGAAACCTAATACTGCAGAACGCACGCAAACTTACTGGGTCCGGAATACATGTCGGTGATGGTCTCAGCCTAGTTGGTCGCGTTAAGAGACAGTCGGCAGAGGTAGAAATAAATGAGCGCCTCCAGAGAGGTGAAAAAACCTTTTACCTAAGGGTGGATGACTTTCTCCTAAGCAAACTTAAGTCCTCGTGTAATAGGAGTAAAAGCCTTATGAAGGCAACTTAAATGCACTGTCTACAAGTTGGGGAAACTTAGTGGTAGGACGATCAATATCATTTGGTTGCAAATTGTTAGAAACCACAATCGCATTAGCTTTATTCCAGTATTAGAGATCCCATTAGATATGACCTATAAAACTGCTAATCTCTCTTGGACCTAATTTTCACATACGGGGACAATGTCAGTCAAATAACTTCCCTCCCACCTTCATGGAGAAGTGATTACGAGGTCATCTTATTCAAGTTCATGACTGAGATGGTCTGTCAAAAAGTCACGCCGGCTCCGTCCTAATATATGGAAGACAGACATGAAGGCGATCATCTCTGCAGCGCCGGCTGAGGCATGGATCCCTTTCCGGCAGTTATAAAATCAAGCAACTCAACTATTTATGCCCTGGACAGTCCCAAAGAAGAAGGGGAACAGCCATCCCTGGATAGACCGGCATATTGGATGTTTACTAAGACAGAAAAAATGTTGGAACAAATCCATCAGCCTTGGCACAAGTTGGTCTGTTCTGCAATCAAGCAGTCTAAGAGACTATTCTCGTGCATACATTACAGAACAAGGACGCAGCATTGGATCCCCAACCTAATTACGGAAGGGAGTGGATCTGAAATGATAAAGGATGATCAGGACAAAGTAGAGGATATGGCAAACTATTTTGGGACAGTTTTCACTCAGAAGTCTCTTCTGGACGAAAAACTATACCCAAATACAAAGTCAAAAATGGTCTGCTCACTGTGAACTTCGATCGAGACGATGTACTTAAGGCTCTTGACACGGAGAAGTCAATAGATCAGGATGAACTACACCCTTAAACGTTGAGATAAATTCCGCAATATATTGCTGTCCCATCGACTACTATATCCAATATGTCACTTAGCCAAGGTGAGTTACCTACGGACTGGAAGGACAAAACTGTCATTCCTATACATAAAACAGGATCAAGACAACTTCATCAAACTACAGGACCTGTCAGCCTCACCAATGTCGCAGTTAAGATACTGGAAAGAATAGTCAGAAAGACCATAACAACATTTGTGGAAGCCAAACAACTTGTTAAACAGCGGACAAAATGGTCTTAAGAAAGGTTTATCTTCACAATTGATTGATCACTGGGTGGTGATCAATGTCATGCTTGTCTAGTCCTTATTAGTGCAGATCGAATGCTATCGATCATGTTGCAATGTGGCCACCAGTCTAGGTGACTCGACACTGCGGGCACTATGTATTGAGATTTAGATGGTGGTCGGAGGTAGTCAACAGGAAACCCTGGACCCGGGTTTCGTGCTACTTGGCACTCGTCAGCATGGTGTACCTGGAATCTTGAGGGAACTGGTGCTCCCTGGCGGATTCGATCTCGTGTCACCCAGCTTCACAGTCAGAGACGTTACCACTGAGGTTAGTCACGGCTCGGATAGCTCAGTGGTAACGTCTCTGACTGTGAAGCTGGGTGACACGAGATCGAATCCGCCAGGGAGCACCAGTTCCCTCAAGATTACAGGTACACCTTGCTGACGAGTGCCAAGTAGCACGAAACCCGGGT